ACGGTGTCCGCAAGCACAGTGCAACAGTTTCATTGACAAAAATATTGTTCCACAGTACCTATTATGCATTATACACTCACCGAGTACTTTATTAGGAACACCTTTACACCTACACATTCATTAAATTATCTAATCAGCCAATCGTGCACAAAATCATGCAGATACACGCCAGCAGCTTCAGGCAATTTTCACATCAACCATCAGAATGAGGGGAGAATGGGATTAAGTTATTTTGACTGTGGCATGATTGTTGGTGTCGGAGTATTTTGAGTATTTCTATATCTGCTGATCTGGGATTTTCACACAAAACAGTCTCTAGAGTTTTGTCGCAACCAAGAGTTGTCTCTTCTGCCCAGGGTCTAGACATATATGAATATCTCTAATATGTTCTATGCTATTGCCCTGATAACTAACTGTAGTCTAAAATGAATTAAAGGAATAAAATAATATCAACAAAAAGTAAAAAGGATAAAACGGAATAAAAAAGACTTCAGCCGCTGAATTCTTGTGGAAGGACGGAAAAGGCCATCTCTTTATTAAGCTTTAAGTGGCAAGATGGTTCCCGGACAACCACAATGCAAATATCATCACGAAGCATCCTTTTTTTTTTTATATCCTTTTTGGGGTGATGAAGTAATCACCCCACCCCTTTTTACACAGTTCCATATCATCTTAGTCCCCATTATATCCAAACCCTGCACCCTTTTTGGCAACCCTTAAAACCAAACGCTCATGATGTCACTTTTTTAAAAACCATTCTAACCTGGTTGTACCAGGCTCTTTCATCCTCTCCAGGTCTTCTTCACCCAAGTTCAGGAGTTCACTTGAACTATAATTTGTACTGTCATCTAACAGAATTCCCCTTTAATTAGTTTTTACCTCGGCTATAGTTTATACTGTCATCCAACAATTCCCTTCCTTTCAGCCGTAATTTGTAGCCACACTTTGTACAGTTTCTTTTTTGTGAGTTTCAAGAGTTCATTGAGTTCATCCCCTTTAGAGGTGATATCCCAAATGCATGCAGTCTATAGCCTGCTTCCCAATGTTATCTTTTTTCAGGAGATTTCCAAATGCTCAAGTTTGCTAATATTTAGTTTATTGATTATTAATCAGGAAAGTTTCATTAAATATCTCTGTCAGTTTACTCAGAATGGTGCAATAAAGAAAAAACATCCGGTGAGCAGCAGTTCTGATAACCACTCTCTACAATTGCAGTCAGCAGAAAGGCATCTCAGAATGCACAACATGTCAAACTTTGAGGGCTACAACAGCAGAAGACCACATTGGGGTCCACTTCTGTCAGCCAAAAACATAAAGCTGAGGCTGCAGTGGGCACAAGTTTACCAAAACTGGCCACCTGAAAACTGGACAAAAGTAGCCTGGTCCAATGAATCTCGATTTCTGCTGAAGCACACAGATGACAGGATCAGAATTTGCCACCAACATCTTGAGTCCATGGGCCCAACCTTCCTTGTGTCAACAGTTGCAAGCTGGTGGAGGTGGTGTAATGGTGTGGGCAATGTTTTCTTGGCACACTTTGGGCCTATTAATGCCAATCAGTCACCACTTGAATGCCACAGCCTATGTGAGTATTGTTGCTAACCATGTGCATCTCTTGAAGGCCACAGTTTAGCCTTCTTCTAACGGCTATTTCCAGCATTATAACGGGTGTCACAAAGCAAACATCATCTCAAACTTTTTTTTTATAAACATGCCAATGAGTTCAGTGTTCTTTATTGGCCTTCTCAGTCACCAGATCTCAATCCAATAGAACACCTTTGGGATGTGGTAAAACAGGAAATTCACAGCATGAACCTGAAAAATCTGCAGGAATTGCATGATGCATCATGTCAACATGGACCAGAATCTCAAAGCAATGTTTCCAACATCTTGTGGAATCCATGCTATTGGTTCCTAATAATATATGTTCCTAATAATATATGTCCAGAGAGCTGAGCGCAAACCTCCTGAGCGCAAACTCTCAGGTGCTGCTTAAAGAAACTCAAGATGGCCTCAAGTACTGGCTCCTTTCTTAAAGTGACACTCCAGCCAAATGAAAACTGTCACCTTTGCTACGTCTCTTGTAAACATACTTACTTGCCTCCTACAGTGGTGCCACAGTTGTCCCAAGAAGGAGATTTTCAAGTTTTAGAATTAGGAAAAATCTCTTTTGAAGGTATGAGAAATGTTTGAAAACTTACAAGCACTTTGAGGGGAATACATGAGGGAGGACTGATGTTTTTTATTATCATTATTATTTGTTACTTTTCTTTCCACCTGCTCGCTGAATGCCTGTATGTATTAGCTTCTACATCTGTGGTTACCAGCACTGTTCCTGGAGATCCACTTTCTGCAGACTTTAATTCCTAATCAACCCCATCTGAACAGTTTAATTCTTGTCTCAAGACGTCCCTGATTTCAGTTTATTAGATTTGGGTTAGAGGTGAATGCAGGCTGAGCACAGTAACACAGATGGACAAAAACACAAAAGGGATACATCATGAATTCTGTCAAACTGAGAATGCTACGGTGTGCAAAGGTTGCACTACAGAATACTACTACATGGCAATTAATATTCCAAAAAAGGGGTTTAGGCCGAATGCCCATTTAACACTTATAGAGCAATTAGCACATTGATGGTGCTTGTGTTTATATTCCAGTGCTATTGATATTGCTGGTAATACTGAGCCCCCTTTTCATTGTTGTTGCTACAGGAGCTTTTGGTGTCTTGTGCCAAACTATAATTATAATTTTTTCCATGCAAGTTAAGGCTATGAACCAAGTTCTTCTTTTACACTTCTTTTTAAGTCTATTACTTCTGCTTGCACCCTTTCACATTCTCCCATTATTTCACAGTAACAACTCCACCATAACTAGTCCATATAAAATACTCACCTCCACCATGTGTGCCTCAGTTTGCCATTATACACTCTAAACCGAGCCATAATGACTTCTCTGTGTCAGCACAAGTAGGGCACAGCCAGAATGATTTATCACAGGCTCACTCTCTAAGCCTCTCTCTGCCTGAAACTGATGCCCTGCTCATCAGGGAGACTCCCATTTTAGATCATGGATGCAGTCTAGATTGCACCACAATCAGTGTTGTCCAAAATGCTTGAAGATCCTGCATAATGAAAATCAGGGAAAACACAATTTGATCCAATTTTGTTCCACTGACATTCTTTGTATATACAGCAGCAAAAAAGTGCTTCAATTAGACTGAAGCTGGGAGATTTTCACACTTCAGCTGGCATTGTTAGGCTCACATGCAGGAAACACTAGCAGGAAACATTTTTTATTGGATGCTGCAAGACCTCATTTTCCTCTAATAATATAAACATGTTATTAGTAAAACAAACTGCCTGTATGCAGTTTTTGTCAGCTTTTGTTACACATGATTCAGTCTTCACCAGTAAATAAAGATGGCTAAACAATGCCTGTTTTGTCCTGAAAATATAGCTTCACATGAATATGTGCCTCTGTTTGTATTATTACTAGATATTGAAGCTTCCATTATCATATGACACTTTATTTAAATCTTTCTATTCATGAATCAAAGCAACATGTTCAGTGATAAATCCGGCTAGACATACAAAACAGCATTTATTAAAAGCTTTCTAATGTGTACATTAGAAAAGGCTTTCTAAAGTAATAATGTAAGGTAATAAGGTACCATATATCAAAAGAAAATCAAAAAAGAGTAACAACCACCCACACCATCTTTTATGCTTTATTTCTTTGTCACTGTTTTATTTATTTTGATTCGTTTGACTGTTTTTACCACTCTGTCTTTATGTTTCTTCATGTATCATGTGTCATACCCTGTTTTAAACATGCTTATTGTAATTTAACCCTGTAATAACCTGTAACTGCATCATTATGACTGTACAGTTTTAGAAATGTTGAAAGTTTTCACACGTATGAATGGCATATACGTCTTCTCTTTTTAAGTCTTCAGAACACCAGTAATATACCCAGAGGACTTTCATTGGAATCATTGGATGGAAAAATAAATATTGCTGACACATGTCAGAGTTTTTTCACCAGGCCATATCACTGATGGAGAAAACTGCTCAGCACACACTCAAAACTTAATTATTTTTCCCTCTGTTCCTTTTTTCCTTCATTGTTTGTTTCACTCTGTTTTAGAATATAATTTTCCACCTGGGAGCTAGTCTATATGCAAGTTTACACAGGTAAGCTTTATTCATATGCCACCGTTTACAGAACACTGTTACAATGCTGTGTGTTCGCGTACAGTCCTGTGCAAAAGTCAGAGACCACCCTTCATTTATTTAATTTCTAGTCAAATGACCATTATGTACAAGATATTAATTTTTCAGGAGACATTTCTGAGGATTCAACAAATAATTAAAAGATATAAAGAAACAAAACCCCTAACAACCGAGCAAGACCTGGTAGACTACCAAAACTGTCCCCATCAGATAAACAGTACTTAAAGCTTTCGTCTTTGAGAGAGAGGAGAAAATCAAACTCCACTTTTGCTTCAGATCTAAAAAAAATCTAGTTGTTTCTGTCCATCCTTCCACTGTGAGAAGACAACACTATGAGTCTGAAAGGATGTGCAGCTGTAAAGACACTGTTACTGAGAACACATCTGCGAATCAAACAAAGAAGTTGCTGGTGTTCTCAGAACAGTGGACTGACCACCTCAGAGTCCAGACCTCAACATCAGTGAATGTGTTCACTTGGGTTGTAAGAAGCAGAAAATGCAACCAGCTTCTAAGACTGAACTTTGGAGGTGTGGAAAAACATCCTTGCAAATTTCTTTTAAAAACTGAAAGCAAGCTTCCTGAAAAAAAAATGGAAACTGTAATAATGGCAAAGAGTGGACACACTAAAACAGAAAAATGAAACATGATAATTAACTGTTGAGGCTTCTCTGTGATTTTATGTCAAATGTTCTGATTTTTCTGAAAAGAAATGAACAAATGTACTTAAAGGCCGTTTTAATATGAAATTAAATAAATGAAGGGAGGTTTTTGCACAGCACTGTAGGCCACTCACAGGCTGTTAAAATGGAATTCTTCCCACCTTAAAACAGAATGTAATGTATTTTGAGGCTTTGCATCAGTTCTTAACAGCTCCTTAGGTCGGTTCCTCTCCAGAATCAAGAAAGACTCTGAATGGGCTGCAATGCTTCATGAGATCATGCTTTGAGTTCTTCATATAGATATGCTGAAAAGACCGTATGAGCTGCATCACTGATTCACCTCCCTCTGAGTGCTGGTTAGAGGAGGGATTTTGCATGTCTAGACGAGCCCACTCTTCATTCAACCTTTGGAGGTTTCTTTATTTGCCCCATTTAGGCAAGAAAAATCACATATCTTCATCAGGGGTCTCTGTGTCCTTTCAGAGAACCCTCATCACTTCCTTGGGAAGGAACTTTCATGCCCAAGTCAAGGACTTCTGTCCTCTCTGAGCCCATGGAGCTGTCTGTGGCTCAGGGCTGCTGGGATTGGGAGCGTTCTAGCTTCAACAAAGGCTCTGTGTTCTCTGAGTCGCTGTGATGTTTCCGGTCCCTGGATTGCTGCTCCCCTTTGCCGCCTCGGGTCCAGGAAGGTGATCGGACATAACCGCCATGAGGAAAGCGTGGCAACGGAGGCTGCTGCTGATCTGAGGGGTGAACAAGTCAGGATGACAGGGTTAAATGTGCAAACACTTTTGTTTCCATTTTTTGTGGCTTTATCTCAGTGCTGGTTTACTCTGACCTTTAACATGTTACCTGTGGTTTACACACACTTCCTATGCTGCCCTCTGTTTTCTCTGTGGGGGACAATGTTTCTCAGTGTCTAAGTCACTTTATAAAAGAACAAAAAAGGTTGCCTGGTGACTTGAGGCTAAAGGTCAGGATAGATAGATTCAAGGCCACGCTGTAACTTAAGATGGCCAATTGAGGCTAAACTAATCTTAAAAGATCAGGAAAAGAAAGGCAGAGAAAGGCCAGTGCCTCTGACAGTGTTGTGAAATGAAATATTCAAGAGGTACACATTTGTGCACTTCAGCTTAGCTCTCTATCAAATAATCATGTGCTCGTAGAGGGGAAATACAGAAGATCTGTGGGAAGAAATAAGCTGAATAAGAAAACTAGCTGTACAAGTTCCCCTTTCTTATCCTTGTGTCAGTTGGTTCACAGCAGCTAAAATCACACTTTGTGAAAGAGTTTGCATTTGCGGTGTCCAAATGCACCAATTACCAAGCAACAATAACCATTTGTGTTGGTCACACAAATTGAAAAGTTAAAGGTTATCAGACTTCCAAAAAAAAGTCACATGGGTTGGGCTCCTGAGCGGTGCAGCTGTCTAAGTGATGCCACAGCCATCCGTGGCTGGAAGTCCAAGACAGCTTAACTGGTCTCGCTCTCCTTGGTTGGGTAGGATGGTTCCCCCTCTCCCCATCACTCAGCGTGATACTAACATGATGCTAGCTCAGCTAATGTAACAGAACTGGCAGTGAGCGTTCTCCAAGCATGTTCTCCAAGCATGAAGTTGCGTTAATTGCAGTTTGAAAAATGCAGTGACTGGCTCCACATCTCAGAGGAGGCACGTGTTAGCCTTCATCCTCCCCCAATCACACAAAACTTGGTTGCATGCTTAGTAGCACTGTGTGACTTGGAGAAAAAATGCCATATAAGTTTTTAGGATTTAACAACTTAACAAATACAGAATTCCCCTTTTTAGCTTCTTAAATCATAAGGGTCTTACAACTACATAACTTACATATTAGTATCATAGTAGTTACTGAATCATTTTTTCATCAGTACTCTATAACAAGTGTAACAATTACTAACTGAATGATATGCCTAGTGTTTATGGAGTTTAAAAGATGGCTGAATAGAAGTAAAAAGAGACACACTTGATGCCGATTCATTGTGGTTCTCTTCATCTGAATCAGCAAACACTTCTCCCAGCTCCTGATCAGACATGTCTGTGAGCTCCGTCAGGTCCAGAAGATCAAAGTGTACCTCCAGAGAGGACACACTGCTCAGTGGCTCTGAGGAAGCATAGAACATAATAGCAAGAAAGCATTACTAGTAAAGGTAAGGATCACACAAAAGAAGCTAGTACTCAATGTGGTTCAGCTTAGTTTGACTTTACATCACCCCTGTGATCAAGGTGACAGTTCTGCTGATAAAACAGTTTAGAGACAAGACTGTATTAGCTATTAGCTGTTCACCTCACAAAATGGAAACAAAACTCCCACTGTACCAGCCTTGCCATGACAGATGATGAATGGGAAAGACAGGAAATGCTCACACTAGCTTACATCCACAGTACACTGTTAGAAATGCCTACTTTGTACTTCCACTCATTGGACACTTATAAGCTATAAGCTGCCTTTTAGAGCCACTATATAGACGTACAATTACAGACTGTACTTCATCTGTTGTCATGCACGATTTGTTAGCCACCCTCTACCCCAGGGGTTCCTAATTCCAGTACTGGTGACCCCACACTATGCACATTTTGTGCTTTGTCTCATCTAGCACACCTGATTCAACTCATCATCTAATTAACTAATTATCTCCTCGTAGGCTAGGTCAGATGTGCAAAGTAGGGGAAAAAGGAAACAATGTGCAGAGCATGGGGGTCACCAGAACTGGGATTAGGAACCCCTGCTCTACCCCAATCACTACTAATGAGTTTCTGTTGAGAGTGGTCCACCACCTCCAGGTCCACCCCTTGAATCCACTTTCTGGTTCTAGATTTTGTAATCGCTGATAGGTATGACATGTAGTGGGCAACCAGTAAATACAAAATCCAGGACTGCTAACTGGATTGAAGGTCCAGAGTTGAAGATGCATGGATACATGACAACAGAGGGGCAACAGCAGGGGTGTCCAATCTTATCTTCAAAGGTCCAGTTTGTCTGCAAATTTTCATTCCAAAGACGTAGGAGCAGAGTTTAATCAGTTCAATCAGTTTAATCAGTTCAATCAGTTGATCTCAGTCTTCAAACAATTGATAATGTGTGCTCCTGCTTGTTTGGAATGAAAATCGGCCCTTTGCAGATAAGACTGGACAACACTAGGCTTCCGTCTCTAACTGTACACTAGTACAGTAAGAGCTAATCATTTCTAATATAGTGACCAGTGAGTGTATATCTGTTTGACTCTATGTAATCATAATTCCCCACTTACGGCGTCTCTCTGCAATCAGCACCTGGCTGCAATGGTGCCCAGGGGTTCCAACTTGCTCTCCTGAAGCATTGTGGGATGCCTCGCTGGTGAGACTCGCAGAGCTGGAGGACTTGAGAAGTTTATGAAGGTCTCTGTCTCTGTTTGGCTCTGCAGAAAGAATGCAAAAAGAATGTGAATCCTTACTGGAAGCGTTTATTTATGTCCAAAAGCACTGCCAGCTAAACCCCTCTACTGACTCTCTGGCTTTGGTCTGAGAGGTTGCTAGTGGCTGCCAAAATTAAGAAACATGATCGACTCCTGTTTCACAGTGTTGATGCAGTTTGCCGCCCTCTATTGATTTTTTTAAGGCAGCAACCACAACATACAAGTGTTCTGTTCCATTTTAACCATTACTGCTCTCATGGGAGAAGAGAAACCCTGACGAGTCTTTTATTATCTAAATACTCAACATCTGGAGTCACTATGTGCACTGCATCAGTGGGATGAATATTTGGTCATTGAGCGTGTTATTATGGGTGCTTCTTTTCTCTGCAGTGTGCGGGTCATCCTTCCCCTACCCCACACCTCTCATTACAATAGATTAGCCCCTCACACAGCCCACACACAGATAGAAGATATATAGCAGAGTGAGCCACTGCTGATTTTTACACCACTTTACAATTGTGCTGAATTACATGTAAAATGTCTGAAATACAGTGTGCTATATCTGTATCCAAACCAAGCTGATTAAAAGAAATCCCAATTTATCACCTCATGTTATTGTGTTTTTAAATGCAGTGTCAAAAAGCAAATGCTACAAAGATGCACCATTGAAAATGTTTAAGTTTCACTCTTAAATCATAAGCATGCATGAACACCAGCTGTCCACGCTGGTAGCAGTCTGCCTGCCGGCTTGTTCTACCTATCAGCCCTGTCGGAAAAAAAGAAATGAATGTAAAAGACCCTGCTTTGGCAATAGGACTTCCAGTAATTAGATGTTCTGTCTATATAGTGTCTGCACAGCTGTATTGAGCTGTGTTAGTGCAACAAAAAATGCGTCTCTTACCTGCAGTACTGGAGTCTGCCTGAGCCTCCATTCAGCCTACAGCAGCAGCCGGTGCAATGCTGTCTGGCGCTGCAGCCAGGGACGGGGGATGGGGGGTGGAGGAGGGAGGGGCGTAGCCTGCTCGTCACTCTCTCTCTCTCGCTCTCTCTCTCTCTCTCTCTCTATCTCTCTCTCTCTCTCTCTCCATTTCTTCTCTTTGTACGCGCAGTCACGCTTCCACACCTCCCTTGTCATTGCAGCAGGCACAGCACAATGACACATGCAGGCAAAACAAAGAAAAACGAAGACAGGAAAATGTAGTCACCTATATTATGCAAAATACACTACACAGAAAGCCAACAAAGGGAAAATTTAAGGGAGGGACCGCCAACAGACAACGAATATAGATTCTGGGATGGAGAGAATGAGGTGTAGCTGTTTGATGAGAAAGGCCTGGACAGAAACAGCAGACCCTCTCTTAGTAGACTCCAAAAGTAAATGTATCCCAGGCCATCTATGTCTGGAGAAACAACAGCTAATATAACAAGGTATGTTAGGTTGGACTCATTGAGTGTACATGTCAACAGTAAGCAGTAATTAAACAAAATCTCTCTCAGATGGACTCTTATATTTCATGAGCTTTCACCCATAGGTCCATTTAGTGAGTACCTAATTATTTAATTTTATTTACAGGCCCATATTTTAGATTTATTTTTCTTCCATTTTACTTTTTACTTGAGAAAATTTGTGCAGGTTTATGTACAAAATATTGTAATAATTAATTTTTACATGACTGTTTTCTAATTTCTTTTTACCCCTTAGAATAAAGCAGGCTGTTTTTATTACTGTGACTAACATGTACATATGTTCTGATTGGTCACCCTGTGTTGTCCCTAATTAAAAAGCAGTCAAGGCTGAAACACTTATAGCTTTAATGAGAATGGGTGGGGCTAAACTGCTGTAGGGAGAATAAGTGGAAATATGTAAATGTGTTGTTTTTATGACATCATAAAAACAATTAATTAACAACATGCTTTTGCGGCTTCACTTTCAAATAAGGACTGTATGGACTGTGGAATGACTGGTATGTTTTTGGAAACTTTAACAATGTTTGCATGCCACATCAAACTCTTGTATTTTAGAAATTGTGAAGGAAGTTCAGATTTCTGTCATATGGGTCCTTTAAATGTGCAGCAAAACACAGTCGTCCTTTCAAATCTGTTTTGCCCTCTGACATGAATGTTCTGGCCACTCTTCATTGTCAAACAGTGCTGCTCTTTGTTAAGCACAAATGAAAGTGTTGCAGTGGCCATTATGGGCTTTTTTCTAGAGTGAGAAATGAAATGCATTGCCTAGGACTATAATTTAGTCCCTAGAAAAGAACTGATCATGTAAAAATGGGAGAGGACAAAGGAATTTATATGAGTACACAGAGTTATGTGATCACTATCTGTGGTTAGCTCTACAAGACTCCACTGTTGACTCTGAGGGAGGGAGCAGTGTGTGCGAAGATGATTCTTGTTCAGCTTTGATATTCTACACCAGGGGCAGTGTATTCTGGACCTGTAGAGTCAGGGTCCACTACAGTTTAGCCATTTCCCTTCTTCTTCTTCGGGTACCTGACCATTTAACTGCTGTGGCTCTCCACAACTGGAATAGTTGACCCCTTTTCTACACTGTCAGGGGTGAAAAAAGTGTAGAGAAATTATGCTTAAGTGAAAGTATGAGTACTTGTCAAAATCTTATTCATTTAAATGCAGAAACATTAAGCCAAAAATATACTTCAGTTGAAGACATAATCACTTTTTAAACATACTCAACTTTATGAAAGTATACGTTTTAACAAATAAATTAGACGTTTTCTTTGTTTGGTTGAGTGTGATGTCATGGTGTGTCAAGTGGTGACTAATTGGCGCTACTAGTCCTTACACACAGACAAATTAGCACACAGTTGTTGGCATTTTACAATGATATGAATTTGGTTGAATGTTTTAATAAAACATTAAATTAAAATGTGAGAGGTAGCTCAACTGATTGGCAAAAAAGAGAAATCTCTTGGCCTTGTAACAAATACTTTGGAAGTCTATACGAAAATGTAAGAAGTAAAATGTATGTTTTTCTCTTGAAAATGTAAATGTGTAAATATATAAGTATTCACTTTCAATAATACTAAAGTAAAGCACAACTCTTCCAAAACAATACTTACACATAATGAAAAAGTACAATCATTCAAGCATTTTCCACCCTTGTACTTTATAAACAGAGTACTTCAGTGCAGTCCCTTAAAAAGAGTATTGACTGTGAATCTGATACTTGGCTAGTCCAAAGAAGATTTAGTACTGTTTTGCCTGGACAGCTGTCATACTGCCTCTTCCACATCTTCACACACTCTCCACAGGCCTGCAGGGTGCAGAATTATGGAGGACAGCTTTGTTGCTCTGGCCTCAGTTCTTAGTGAAAATCCTTCACATCTGAAAGACATCTTATGGAATTCCCCAGGATAAACACGGCTAATGAAACATGATCCTGAATTACCGAGTCACAAACTGCACATCTCAAAGCAATATAATAAAAACTGACTATTGTATTTTTTATTACAATATATTAATGGTTGAAATGGTTAGTAATGTTTAGTTATGCTGACAAGATAAAATTTTAGCAAATAGTGTACTTTAAAGGCCATCTGGGAGGAAGCCAAAACATCTTCATCCTCTTCTTTGTTTTTGGAAAGAGTTAAAATGCCCTTTTCACTCTTTTCCACCCAGAAATTCGACTATAATCTTCCCCGGGGAGGAGCTTTTTTCCAGTCTCCTTACAGAACCAACCTTAGCCCTTCCCTTTCTTTTGATTACACACAGTAAGAAACTGTGTAATCCCTGTTCTCCCAGCTAAAAGAGTGTCCCCTTCCAGAGCAATATAGTTCAGCACAGATTTGAAGTAGCTAAACTTTTGCCTCTGCTTCAGCTGCTTGGACATCTCTGCTGTGGTAGACTTGATAAACCACAGTGTAAACTGAAGAAACTGAGGTAATGTCAGTCTTTTCCTTCTTTAACCATAAAAAGAGCAAAATACAAGTAAATTTAATCCACCAGTTCTTATACTTTGTACTTTTGTGTATTTTATCATTGTACCGCCTGCTGGCCTGAAATACAGGAGAGCTGAACTGTTATCTCTGCTGGATTTGAGTCAATCTGATTTTCTACAAAGACCGTATCATCATTTTTATGTATTCATATTCTGAAAATGTTTCGATACAACCTAATACTGAAGTAGTACACTGTCAAAATAGCTCCTCGGTAAAGTTATACTGTACGTCAGGCTTCACAGCAGAACCCGAGTAAAAACAGAAGCTCTCAGTAGTTTGTTCTTCTGTTCTTCCTCTCACTGCACTTCTAGCCTCCATGTTCTCCTGAGAAGATAAACTGAGTCGGTCTTGGTGGGCACGAGTTTCACGAGGGAAGACGAAGGAAGAAAAGGTTTTAATGTAAGGGTTTGTTCACAGGTGTTTTGTGGTCATGTTCATCCTGTTTCCCGCTCAGTGCCGACAGATATTATAAGCTGACGACACAAAAATGCATTAGATTTTGACTCATGAGAGCGACACATTACTCAGTTCGTCTGACTGATATATATTACAGAATCCCCTATGCAGTGCCACATCGCTCAGGTGAATGTTTTCAGAGCGCATCTGAATTTAACGGTAAAAAGAAGGCAGCGGGACTTTTCCTGCATCTCACGCTGCCAACAATAATGGACCGTTTGCGCATGCGCGTAAAGGGGGGAGGAGCCGTTGGGGGAAAACGGTGAATGGCTGTTATGGCTAGCTGGCTAATCAGATGGATGTAGCGAAATTGCAAAAGCTTTCTTTAAGGAGGTTAAATAAACACAGTTGTTTGTAGTCTGGTATTCTTTTGGTATATTAGGGACTATATTTGTACCTAAACTCCGTCCTGACTAGGCTCCAGCAGTGTATTGCCCGCTGAGCAGTGGAGAATCCGTTGCTCTGCTCTCATGAGGCACACAGCTAGCTAGACAGAGCTAGCTTAGCTAAGTTAGTATGCCCTCTGATTTTATATCTCTTCTGAGCACGGATATCGACCTCAATTCCCCCAAATCTCTGTACTCTAAAGGTAAGCCTGATATTGGTTCTGATATAATTCGTTATCTAAATATTTCATGACCCGCTGAACCGTTTACTGTTGTGCTTCTAATGATAATCTGTAGCTTCGCCCTCAGATGAGGCACGGCTAGCGGCGGTAGTTAGATGTGCATCGTTCTGGCTGCGTGTCTGAGTGTGTGTGTGGGTGGGTGTGTGTGTGTGGTTAGTGTGTTTGTGTTTTCCTCCACTTCTTCAGCGCGTTTCACTGACCCCCTTCCTCGCCACCGGTACCGCTGTTTGCCAGATCCGAGGGACGTCTCATTAGTATTTAAACCAGTAACTCTGCTTAAGTTAATGAGACCTGCGTGCTGGGGCAGCTCCAATCCTCGCTGTTTAAGAAAGTAGTGTTGTGGTTGCGCTCTTGGATGTGTCTTATCCGTGCCTTGAATTTTGGACTAACGCCAGCCATGTCAGTGACTAGCTAAAGCACAGGCTTTAGACTAATAGCCTATTTTAGAGAGCTTTCCTCTCACAGCAATAACTGGAATTGAGGTTTGTTTATTTTGGTCCACTACAGGCGTAATGAAGTTAGGACCTGACATTGCCTGAGTCGTAGCAATAGTACAGGCACGGTTGTTGAGTGAGCTGTATCTGGTGTCAGAGGCCCACTAGAATATTATAAGACCAACACAGTGGTGCTTTTAGATTAGCTATTAATTTACAGTCTATATTTTAATGAGGTAAACTGCCACTCTTTCGTGCTGTTGTGATGTTAGAACATAAGTAATGAAATAGAAATGCAAATTTGGAGCATAAGCTGTAATTTAAAACTTTATGAAATGGCTGATGAAAACTGAGGCTGGGGTATAAAACTAATAACACTTTGTTTTTTGATAAATGCAGGTGTTGAACCTACAGAGTGATTTTCATTTAACAGCTAAAACCTTTTCTTTCCTGGCTATGATTCCAGACTGGAAACAAAGTTGTGCATGTCCACTT